TTGAGGGTTGAGGGTTTAGGGTTGAGGGTTTAGGGTTGAGGGTTTCGGGTTTAGGGTTTAGGGTTTAGGGTTTAGGGTTTAGGGTTTAGGGTCACTGCTGATGGCAAAGACCTCTCGCGCATTTCCCAGCATCTCAAGCCGAGGGTCGCTTCCCGAAGCAAGACGTCTGACGTCCACATCGAGTCCTACGCAGCGACTCTTTAGGGGGTAGTTCCATGGCCCCTGAAAGTGGGCCTTTAACAGGGTACCCCTTATATAGCCCTTGTATTTCCCTACTAATCCCGTAAAGGGTAGGTATATAGAGCCGTTTTCAATGCCGGAAGAACCATGGGCCCATTTTTGAAGGCCCTTCCTCGCCATCAACGTGGGGTCGGATCGACCCATCGACGCCACGCCTTGCACCGGGCCACTTCACAAATGACCGGGTTTCGGGTTTCGGGTGTAGGGTTTAGGGTCTAGGGTCTAGGGTCTAGGGTTTAGCGTTTAGGGTTTAGGGGACCCCCAAAAAATGGAGAACGCCCGAGAGAGTTTCCGGCCTCAGGACGTCCTTGCCAGTGCCAAGAAGTCCCTTCCTTGGGTAGCAGAAGATTTTTAGACACGTGGCGATGTGGAAACGCTCTGAGCCCACCCGTTCTCACCCCCTTCTCATGCCACGCCGCAGTTCGGCCCAGCTGATCGCTTCCCGCTCACGTTCCTAGCGGGCGCGCTGGGCAGTTCCATCTCTCCCTCTCTCCGAAGTCCCCCCCCCCCCCTCGTGCCTGACACCGTTTCTGGGCTGCCTGAAGCCAGGCCCGTGCCTGCCAAACTGCAAACTGGGACACAACAAAGAAGGGCCGAGCACTCTCTCCGCAGCCTGCGGACTTCGCCGGTACCGCCGTTCCTGCACGAGCAAGAGGACAGGCGCTTTCACACAGACAAGCCATCGTCAGGAGCATACCAGAAGACCGAAGCCAGCATCACCAGCTAGACATAAGCCTCGAAGAAGTCGAGGCAGGACTCTAAAACCTTGACCTAAGGCAAAGTCCCCTGTGTCTGGCCCATGGGGCTCTACGGCTACAGCACCATCCAAGAATTCTCTCATCCACTCAACCTGCTGACAAGCTTTGAGAACGAATCTCAACTTGGAGAGCTCTGGCGCAACCCCAAAAAGTCCAGAAGACAAGCAATGCTCCCCGCCTGATTCGGCTTGGAGCCCTGGCAGTGTGTTTCAACTACCGGTTCGTTCATGATCACGTCAGACTCAGCAGCCGTCCCACTACTCCGAATTCCTTCCGCACATACCCTAAACCCTAAACCCTAAACCCTAAACCCCAAACCCTAAGCCCCAAACCCTAAACCCTAAACCCCAAACCCTAAACCCCAAACCCCAAACCCTAAACCCCAAACCCTAAACCCCAAACCCTAAACCCCAAACCCCAAAGCCTAAACCCCAAAGCCTAAACCCCAAACCCTAAACCCCAAACCCTAAACCCTAAACCCCAAACCCCAAACCCTAAACCCTAAACCCTAAACCCTAAACCCTAAACCCCAAACCCTAAACCCTAAACCCCAAACCCCAAACCCCAAAGCCTAAACATGTTGCAGAAGATGCGCCTGGCAGCCCATGCTGCGGCGGCCCCAAGGTCACAGAAAAGCCATCCACTACTTCCAGGGGCAGTCTTACTAAGGTTTCGGGTTTAGGGTTTAGGGTTTAGGGCTAGCAACCTTGATCCGAACCAACCCATGCCTTGAGACCGCCGCAACGCTGGCTGCTTGAGGCATGTCCAACTTCCGACTCACTATCCGTTGACGAACTTTGTTAGTATGAACATGATCACTACTATAGTACTATTCATATTGTCCTCACTACTGCTTTTACAAACCCTACTACTTTGGCCTCATGAACATGAACATGGCACATGTCTGCCAGAAGCTGCTGAGGAGAGGATCAAGGGTTAGCCAGGAGAGAACGCGAAGAGCAAAGCGACTCCCCCACAAAGTGAGCCCCCCCCCCCCCGCCCAAAAAAGACTGAATGTTTATGGTTTTATAAGGATATTATATATATATATATATACATATATACATATATATATATATATACAGGTGATTCATGGAAATAAAGATTAAAAAGTATGCTCAAACCTACCCTCTCCCTTTCAAGGCCACGAACAAGTGCTCCTGGACCCATCCGTCTGACAGGAGGCATCTGCCTGGCAGGCGGGTGACCTGAACCCTAACCCTAAACCCCAAACCCTAAACCCTAAACCCGAAACCCTAAACCCTAAACCCTAAACCCTAAACCACTGCGCCTTGAGCTTCATAGAGCCACTCTCCAGGGACTCATCCATGGGCGCCTGTGTCAGGGTGTGGAGTTTAGGGTTTAGGGTTTAGGGTTTAGGGTTTAGGGTTTAGGGTTTAGGGTTTAGGGTTTAGGGTTTAGGGTTTAGGGTTTAGGGTTTAGGGTTTAGGGTTCAGGGTTTAGGGTTTAGGGTTTAGGGTTTAGGGTTCAGGCTTCCGACGTGGGGCCGCCCGGGAGAGGCTCTGTTTTCTGGCCTGACGGTTGCTAGGGTTTTAGGGTTTTAGGGTTTTGGAGTTGTTGGGTTTTGGGGTTTTGGGGTTTTGGGGTTTTGGGGTTTTGGGATTTTGGGGTTTTTGGGGTTTTGGGATTTTGGGATTTTGGGGTTGTTGGGGTTTTGGGGTTGTTGGGGTTGTTGGGGTTTTGGGGTTTTGGGGTTTTGGGGTTTTTGGGGTTTTGGGGTTTTGGGGTTGTTGGGGGTTGTTGGGGTTTTGGGGTTGTTGGGGTTTTGGGGTTTTTGGGGTTTTTGGGGTTTTTGGGGTTTTTGGGGTTTTGGGTGTCTTTGGGCTTCCACCCCCCGCCCCCACCCCCCCAAATGCCGATGTATCTGGACGTGTCAAACATGGATACCGAAGATCCGGCGCGAGGTTTTGCATCACAGTTTTTGCATCACAGTTTTTGCTCCGGTTTCGAGGAGTGACTATGTGCTCCAAGCAATTCGTGCTGGGTTGCCAACAACTGGGACAAGGATCCACCTGCATTTCGCCAGGTCATCCGAACCACAGAGTGGGATCCCCGCCACGAGCCTATCTTGCTGAGCCGGCCCAAAAAAAAACTAAACCCTAAACCCTCAACCCTAAACCCTAAACCCTAAACCCTAAACCTCTTTGCGTCAAGTATGGGATTCCGGCGGCTCAGCATCGAGCGTCCCGAATTATGCAAAAGGAACAAGATGCAAGCAGCGGCCTCCTCAGATGCATAGGGGAGAGGTTTAGGGTTTAGGGTTTAGGGTTTCGGGTTTAGGGTTTAGGGTTTAGGGTTTAGGGTTTAGGGTTTAGGGTTTAGGGTTTAGGGTTCGGGACAAACCTTCAGCTGTCGCAGCCCGGCTGGGACAGCTGGAGTCTGAATTTCCAGACGCCGCCGCCGTGAGCTAATCGAACAGCATGTCCTGCTTGGAGGTTCATGGCACTTATTATAAATGTGTTTAGGGTTTAGGGTTTAGGGTTGAGGGTTTAGGGTAACTGTACATGTAACTGTACATATAACCATACCAGGGCACTTAAGGGGCTTATGAGTGGTCCCTAAGTGCAGTTATGGTTGGTTAATAAGTACCATGAACCTGCAAGTGCACGCGAACTTGCATCTTGGAAAATGTGGAGCGGCGCACCTGGCAGGCGACACGCCAAAGAGAGAGACAAAGAGTCCTGGCTGCCCCATTCGACACGGACAAAACCAAAAAAAAAAAAACAACATGCAGACAGACACGTTGGGCCCTGAGAGCTTCGACAACGATGGCGCAGGAAAGCCCTGGGGCACTGGACAAGACTTCTCACACCTTCCAAACCTTAGGCCTGGAAGTGGTGAGGCATAGTACGGAAATGAATCACGCTGGTTGATAAACATCGTGAGGAATCAAGAATTCAAAAGACCACGCCCGGGAGGCGGAGCTGGCGATAGACACATTGTGCTGCCCTGTTCCAGGGCTGCCGCAGACTTGCCAGCGAAAACAGCCCCCCAGCGCCATGGGGAAAAGCGGCCCTAAACCCTAAACCCTAAAGCCTAAACCCTAAACCCTAAACCCAACTTGAGATGAGGCCCATAAAAATGTCTTCAGCGCCCAGGCCTTGGAGCTTCGAGCTTGGGCTCATGTGAAGTAGGGCATATATTGCTTGTACCCCCCAAAAGGACACCCGGTATCCACACTCACCAATATCAAAAAGGAACCTAATATATACACTCACCAAGAACAGTTATATATACCCTGCTTCATGTGAGGCCCCCGATCATCTTTTGCTCTTACCTTTTTAAGATGCGTGTTGGGATGTTCTGCCCCCTTATCCTAACAGACCTTAATTGGGAATTTCAATAGAGGGTACTAGAATCCCGATTAAGGACTTTTCGTTTAAGGGGGAGCATCCCAAGATAAATACACAGGCTCAGGGTAACGGCCTCCTCTGCAGCTAAGTGCTAGCGACTGGCTGCTGACAGCTCGTTGCGGTGCACGGGGCATTTTTTGCCCACAAGTGGTGCGTGATCCTGTTCCTCAACGGTAGGATCCTAACAACGTCCACGCAAGGACTTGGCGATTCACCGGACGTTACGCGTCTTGAAATCGAGGGAAGCGTCGCAACTCCCTGTTGCCCACCCCTTTCCGGGGGCTCCGCTGCCTGGAATCGAACGGCTCCGCTGCCCCTAAACCCTAAACCCTAAACCCTAAATCTAACGCTGGCAAGGCAGCACAAGATTTCTTGCTGGCAACGGTGGCGCAACGGTTTTTTCTGCCCTATCGACATTGCAGACATGCCTTGGGATGTTCCCCCTTTTTCTAACAGCTCCGTAATAGGCATTATCATAGGCGGGTACTATCCCTAAACCCTAGACCCTAAACCCGAAACCCTAAACCCTAAACCCTAAATCCTAGCCTAAACCCTAAACCCCCCATTAAGGAGCTGTTAGTATAAGGGGGAAACATCCCACATGCCCCCAGGATGCCGCCCTTGCAGCTCAGAATATCGGCTTGGACTTCGAGGCTTCCACCCGGCGGTTTGCGAGAATTGCCATGAACTTGCGCCTGCGCACACATGAAGCGGTTTAGGGTGTCGGGTTTAGGGTTTAGGGTTTAGGGTTTAGGGTTTAGGGTTTAGGGTTTAGGGTTTAATGCTCCATTTTAGCATTCTGAGCCGCACCCCAAAACCAACGAGGGGGCCTGGTGTTCACGCGCGTCTGGAATATCTTTGGATGTTGCTTGATGTCGTGCAGGAAGCTGTCTACACGTCCGACCTCATACACGTCCGACTTCCAGCCGTTTAGGGTTTAGGGTGTAGGGTTTAGGGTTTAGGGTTTAGGGTTTAGGTTTAGGGTTGTCCATACACTTCGGGACTTGAAGCGTCTGAGTTTACGTGATGGGATAGGACTGCGAAAGCTTTCCAAGAAGGCTTATAGCAACGTGTACTGACACTGGGCAAGATCCATGTTAGGTCGCCTGCTTATTGAGCAGCTTGGGACGGAGTGGGTGCTAGTCAGGCAGCCAAGCATCTAAGTGTGACAACTGCAAGTATAAATATATGTGTATATATATATATATATACCTATATGCATATATGCAAATAGATGCACTTGCATATATATGTATATACATACATACATACATACATACATACATACATACAGACATACGTAGAGAAGTAACATATCCGTTGTTCACAGGAGTGCCATGTGCTTGCCCACGTCACCTCCTCCTCGCACAAGTGGCGATTCTTTCTCGAATCAATGGAGGTGAACGATCTTGCCTGGGGTGAGAGTTTCGTTTGACATGTCAAACATGGCGAAGCCATCCGTGTTGCTTCACCCTCTACGCACATTCTGGGTGAGAGTTTATCCTTCAGTCTTCGAAAGGTCTTTAGCTGCATCCTCTTCTGAAACTTGGGGGATTTCCCAAAATAGGGGGTACCCCCTCTTATACCCTTAAAGGCACCCCCCAAAAAGGGGTACCCCGAGTTTCGGACACCCCGAAGTCTCAACTCACCAACTGTTGGAGGATACTACCCTAAACCCTAAACCCTAAACCCTAAACCCTAAACCCTAAACCCTAAACCCTGTTCCTTGCTGTTTTGGGCCTGCTGCGGCTCGAAGTCCAGAAGGACCTTGCCTCCGCAGATGCTGTTTAAGGTTTAGGGTTTAGGGTTTAGGGTTTAGGGTTTAGGGGTTAGGGCTTAGGGCTTCGGGCTTCGGGCTTAGGCTTAGGGTCCGCCACGGACACGCCATGCGCTCTGCCCTCTCACTTTCTCCCCCCTGTCTCTCACTCCTGCTCTTCGCTCTTTCTTTCTCTCTCACTCTTGCTCGCTCTCTGGTTTTCTTTGTGTTTTCTCTCTCTCTCTCTCTCTCCATGTGTGGTCCCTTCCCTCCCCCCTCGTTCGAAAATCCCACACCGATGATCAATGGAGGGTTGCCGATCCCTCCGGGCCAACTAGCTACCCCTCAAAAAGACAGAAAAAAAAAAACTGAAGAAAAAAAACAACAAAAACAAAAAAAAAAAAAAAACGACAGGAGAATCTCAGAACTCGTTGGTTCTAGTGGTTTGGTTTCTGGAGTTTCTTTGTTTGGTGGCTTTGGCTTTGCCGGTCATTTGTTTGGTGCCAATGCTTTGTTTGTCTGTGGTTTTTGGGCTTGTCATTTGAGCTTTTGGGTTTTGAGATGCCTTTGTTTTGGTGGGTGTGGTCTGCTTCGGCATCATGTTTTCTCGATTGGGTGTTTTGAGAATTGCGCTTTTTGTCGGTTTTGATTGTTCTTGCTTTGTTGGTTTTAGGGGCTTGCCAACAGCCACAAACAAAGACAAAAAATGGGACCATGAGCTCGTCAGGCAAAGGAAGGCACGAGGCGACGATTCTGTGACAGTTTACGAAAATGAGGGAACAGTCCCCCAAATAGCAGGATCCCTTATAGTACGGAGTGGACAACAACCACCCATGACGACAAGCAGACGAAAAGTGCCTCAGCCCCTCCCCGGAATGGCCGATTTAGGGTTTAGGGTTTAGGCTTTAGGGTTGAGGGTTTAGGGTTTAGGGTTTAGGGTTCAGGGTTCAGGGTTCAGGGTTTAGGGTTTAGGGTTTAGGGTAGATCTTGCGGAAGAGGTGTCGGTACTGTGACTTGCCACCTCACGTCCCCTGTTCCCTCGGCATCTAAGCGCACAGTCTTCTCCTCCTGCCCGTTTCCACGACACGCTTGCGTCGTCACTCACCATGGCTCACGTGCAGATACTATATGCCACTCTGGCAAGGGTTTAGGGTTTAGGGTTTAGGCTTTGGGGTTTAGGGTTTAGGGCTTAGGGATTAGGGCAAGTCCACACCTCGAGCGATGGCCGCCATCGATCTGCTGGAGGGTATGACCTTGACGGACACCTGCGAGGCAACTGCGGCTTCGTCCGTGTGGTTACAATGACGGGAGCCCTAAACCCTAAACCCTAAACCCTAAACCCTGAACCCTGAAACCTGAAACCCTGAACCCGAAACCCTTGCGCGGTTCTCGTAGGACACCTTCACAAAGCGTAGAAACACTCTTGGCCCAGCCCCCAGATATTTCATTCAATGGAGGCCCTCTCAGTGTCCGCTGCTAACAGGCGGATGACTCAATCTCAAGAGCATGAAAAAGGAACCCTAAACCCTAAACCCTAAACTGGGTAGGATCCGGGGTTTTGGGTTTTGGGTTTTAGGTTTCGGGCCTTGGGTTCTGGGGGTTCAGGGTCTTAGGGCTTTAAAGGGCTTCCGGGTTTGGGGGATTCGTCGCAACTGCACGACCTGCCCCGTGACGTCGGTGTCGTTTGTGCCCACGCGCTCCCATGGCGATCCTTCGACTGGCTCTTCCTGGCTGGGCGAGTCGACATGTGAAGAGCGTTGGGAAGTAGAGTTTGGGATGTTCCCCCTTTGTTACTAACAGCTCCTTCATGGGGATTCTAGTACCCCCCCCTACTTATAATACTTGTTAAGGACTGTGAGTCTTTAAAGGAACATCCCGAATTTGAGTGCTAGAGAATACAGTGAAGAATGTACTGCTGCACGGTATACACGATCATCGAATACAGTATCAGCTCACGCCATGCACACGTACATATACATTTACACCTACCCATCGCATGATGCCACAAAAACTCAGAGAAGTGGCTGTCTGAGATTGCTTCAGCCCTAAACCGTAAACCCTAAACCCTAAACCCTAAATCCTAAACCCCAAACCCTAAACCCTAAACCCAAACCCCAAACCCTAAACCCTAAACCCTAAAGCGAAATGCCGGCGCCTCGGGCTCCGGGGCTCTCGGAGCTCCCGGCGCGTGGCATTGGTTGGGGAGGCGGTTCGCCTCAGGGAGCAGGAGCAGCAAGCGGCGGATCAGGCGCCCGCGTTGAACGACGGGTTTAGGGTTTAGGGTTGAGGGTTTAGGGTTTAGGGTTTAGGGGTTAGGGGTTACGGGTTTTAGGGCAAGTTGGAGGGGGGGGGGGAGGTTCAAGCTTTGGGCTTTTCACCTCTGAAATCCCCCCCCCCTCCCCACGAGTTTGAGTACGCAACGCTACACCCTAAGGCAAGGCCAAGAAAGACTTTCGCGCGTGCCTCCCGAGAAGCGGCTTGCACCCTCGCTCTCGCAAAGCTTGTCGAGACCCTAGAAACCCCAAACCCTAAACCCCCTAAACCCTGAACCCGAGACCCAACACCTGAAACCCAAAGCCGAAAACCCCTGAACCCTAAACCCTAAACCCAAAGCCCAAAAACCCCAATACCCTGAGACCCCACGGTCCTCCTCAAAGTGGTTCTCTCGACGTTCCACGTCCGAGGCGGTTGGCTCGATGGGGTGGAAGTCCTCAGCAGAGCAGCGCAGAGACTCCTGATGAGGTGAGTTACCGATGAAAGCAAATCAAGTTTAGGGTTTTGGGTTTAAGGTTCAGGGTTCAGGGTTCAGGGTTCAGGGTTGAGCTTGCACATCTGTGTTCCCCCCCTTTTTCCCAGAAGCTTCTCTAAGTTGAATTCAAGTGGCGATGGCAGCCGGCGCGATAACCTGGCAAGTTGCCGGACAAAGTCTCTCAGCGAGAAGCTTTCATGCGACGCATGAACTCCTCGGGCTGCCCTAAACTTGCTCGGGCTGCCCTAAACCCTAAACCCTAAACCCTAAACCCGAAACCCTAAACCCGAAACCCGAAACCCGAAACCCCAGATGCTCAAATGCTCAACCCTGAGTGCAGGGCCTGTACAGACGCCGCGCAGCCCATGGCTGAGGATGACAGCGGACTGGCAAACTCGAAGCCAAAGGCTGAGAGATGGGAGCCAAATATTATTCGATTATGCTACATATATATATGCACTCACATACGATCTGTGTATACGTATATGGATATGTATTTGTATGTGTATAACTATATATATATGTGGGAAAACTTATTAAATATGTATGTGTATATATACATATATATATATATACATATAAACTATAGAATATACATATATATATATATATATACATATACATATACATATACATATACATATACATATACATATACATATACATATACAGATACATATGTAGAGAGTAGACTGTAGGATGCATGTATGTATGTATTCATGTATGTATGTACATATACATATGTTTGCATGTATATGTGTATGTGTATATATATATATGTGTCATATTATATACTATACAACATAGACACAAAAGCAGCACCGGAACTGCGGCACTGAGGAAGGGAGAGCCGCTGCCCCCCCCCCCCCCCCCCCCCCCCCCCCCCACGCACCTTTTGTGATCGAGTCGCATGGGTTTCTACTCCTGGTTGGAGCGACTGGAGGCCACATGGGAGGCAGGGTGAACACGTGTGTGTGTGTGTGTGTGTGTGTGTGTGTGTAGAAGCATGCGTGTGCGTATTCGTAGGAAAGTAAGCTGTCCATATGTCTATATGTACATACGTATAGGCGCATATATGGACTATCGGACTCCGCGCCGCTGAGTTGGGGCGACGATCGCCCCGATTGGGCATCACGCGAACTGGGTTGGATTCCATTTGAGGGCCTGGTGATGACTGAACAAGCCTTGTGCAAAAACCTCCTAAGCCTAAAGCCTAAACCCTAAACCCTAAACCCCAAACCCTAAACCCCAAACCCTCAGCCCTAAACCACACTTCAACCCTGTGATATAGACATGTGCCTCGGAGAATTGGTGTCCGGGGAATTCACATGACACCGGGAGCAAGATGGTTCGGAACTGAGCAGAATCCCCCTATACAGGGTAGTGGGCTTAGGGTTTAGGGTTTAGGGTTTAGGGTTTAGGGTTTAGGGTTTAGGGTTTAGGGTTTAGGGTTTAGGGTTTAGGGTTTAGGGTTTAGGGTTTAGGGTTTAGGGTTTAGGGGTAGTCCTTAATCGGGATTGTTGTAGGGTTTAGGGTTTAGGGTTTAGGGTTTGGGGTTTAGGGTTTAGGGTTTAGGATTTGGGGTTTTGAATCCCGATTCAGGGCCGGTAGTACAAGGGGGAAACATACCAAGAGGCATAGTAGTAGTCAAGGGAATGTCACAGGGGCATCTGCCTGCCACAGGGGCCTCCAGCAAAAAGCGGGTGCTGCCTAGGCCGGGTCCCCGGGCAGCACCAGGCCAGGTCAAGCCTCCCAGCCCTTGAAAGTCAACAGTTCACACCGCGGCTGCATCCTGTGAAAAGCGGAGGGCCTGAAAGCACGAGCCCAGACCAGGGCAAAGAAACAACACAGCTGCACAAAAAACACACCTCGCCTGATCCAAAAAAAGAAAGCCACTCACTGCCTATTTCACCCAAGTGGGACCCTTCTAACTCTTTGTAGGCTTCCTCACGCAGGGCAGGGGAGCCCAGGAGCAGCGCTCGGCTGGCCCAGAAACGGTCCCTGGGCTCATCACTGGCCAGAGGGTGGTCAGCGAACCAAGATTGGCTGCCAGCGAACAATGGGATCTCCGAACCGTCTCAACAGGGCAGTACACTACGATCATCGTACAAGAATACAATAAGAAAACACAATACAGTACAATATAATATAATATACTATACTATAATATAACATAGTATAACATATTATCATATAATATAATACAGTATGGTATAATATACTATAATATAATATAACATAATATATTATAATTTCATATGATAATATATATATATATATGTAGATATATGTATGTATGCATGTATATGTACATATATATATATAATAGTAGAAACCTTGTTACCAGATCTTTCAATACAAACGAAGATGTTCCTTCCAGTCGTGGAGCAGCCAGGTGGGCTGCTCGATGGCCGGGTTCTTTCGGCATGCTCAGATCCCACGGTTGCTTCAAAAACATGTAAGTCACCGTCAGAACCCCTCGCCATCAGGTCACAACCCTACTGCTAAACCCTAAACCCTAAACCCTAAACCCTGAACCCACCCGGAGGCAGACCGCCGGTCTGTTGCAGGAGCCGTTTCAAGCATTCTCCCAGGGTGCCCTAAACCCAAAACCCTAAACCCCAAACCCCAAACCCTAAACCCCCCTACGGGTTTCGTTGCGGGGTGGGTTTTGTGTCGGGCTTCTTTTTTTAGGGCTGGGACAAATAATTGTTGGAAGTGCCTTTCGTTGATAGTGTAGGTGATTAGAAGCTGAGCGTTGAGGAGGTTGAAGGTTGAGCTTCAGGGAAATGTAGCTTGACAGCCGTGTAGGCTCTTATAAGTCATGGTACATTGGTCGTATACCCTTCGCAATAGTGTAGCTGAAGCGTTCGGCTGAACCTCCATAAGCCAAACACAACCTGCATAAACGCAGGAAAGGCAGAGAAAAAAAAAATCTACGCACCCCTGCACGTTCCCAACCCCCCACCCCCCCGCCACCCCCCCCCCCCCCCCCCCCCACCCCCCCCACAACGCCCCCCAACCCCCCAAAAACGCCAAAACAGGACAAGTGTGAAGTGAGCAAAAAAAAGAACGATGTCGAATTCAATCCGCAGGCCAGTGTTTTCAAGCTGCAGACACGTTCGAAACCGAAAACCACGACGGAATTGCATATGCGATTCCGCAAGGAAAACACAGCGTCACAACATCCACGCACGGCAAGGAACAAAAACAAGATGCGTCTCAACAATGGCTAAAACATCGCGCAGGACAGTGTTTTCGAACAAGTAGACTAGTCCGTGAAGCAGAACAGCAAGAGAAAGAAGCAAAAACATGTGGAAAAAGACCCCTCAGCGAAACCCGTTAGGCCAAACCCTAAACCCCAAACCTACCATGCGTGGGCAAGGGCTTGAAGTTAGTGCTTGCGAGCTCGGCACATGATCCTGAAGCCGCCACCCACAAGTACTCCCCCCCGAAAAAATCCGTTAGTGGAATGGGCTCTCCGTTCCATTCTTGTCTTTCTTCTTCTAATCATATTCGTATTCGTACAAGCACAATAATTGCTATGAGTGGCTCCCCTCCGTCCTCTCCCCCACCCGACGCCCCTTTCATCGGAGGGTCACGCCATTCGGCCTCTGAGTCTATCCATATCACTGCGCCCTCGAACATCGATGCGTTCGGAACTCATCTGACCGGGGTTTTGATTCTGACTCATGTATCCGTGGCACATCACCAACCATGCAGGGGCTGGCTGTGACTTCTGGGGCTCAAGGAAAAATTTCACCTTGCGAACTGCAACGTAAGCGACGAGAAGGGGGCATAGGGGTAGCCAAGCTCCTCAGAGGAGTGACGTGCAAAGTGAACTCGAGAACACCGTCCGGCCAGATGCCAAAATCTTCAAAAGCAGGGTGCTGAAGACATCTCGGGCCGGGTCACGGTTGCCCTAGAACTACACGAGAGATCCTGGAATGCGGGGGAGCAGATCCCCATTCCACAAGTGAGGTTCAGGTGCTCTGCCCATGAGACCTCACAAAGACTAAGAGCCTAGAGCTCTGATTTAAAGATTAACGATGAAGGCGGCTGAGGGTCGGAAGAGTCTGTACAACCCAGTTCCGAGCCTCCACCAGACACACGGGGTCCGGTCAACTTCAAACATGCAAACACTTCTTGCAGCATTGGCCCCTGGACCGACACATAGCTCACAATCCCCCTCACCCTAAACCCTAAACCCTAAACCCGAAACCCTAAACCCTAAACCCCCCCCCCAATCAGGAGAAAGGGCCACCTCGATCCCCTTCTTGGCGTTCCGGTGTCGGTGTCAGGGAAGGCTGCGCGAAACACAATTTTAAACAACAAAGAGTTGAAGTTGGGATGCTCCCCCCAGGGAAAGTACTGGAATACCTACTAAGGAGCTGTTAGTATAAAGGGGCCCCCGCGTACTCAGAAACACGAGAACCGCCTGAAAACCCCAAACCCTAAACCCTAAACCCATATGAAGGAGCTGTTCGTGTCACGGGGGGGGGGGAACCCTAAACCCTAAACCCTACACCCTAAACTCAGGGCCTAGGCCGCCGCCCTACGTTGGCCTCGATGGCACAAGCCGACCCAGGTCGCTCGCCTGCCTCCCACAGCATGGGGGTCGGTAGCGCCCACGATGGGCCCTGGCAACCAGTACTGGCCCCCTTATATTAAAGTAAGTACCCTAAACCTTCAGGTCATGACCCTGGAAGCCCCTGACCTTTTCGGGGGGGGGGGGTACCCCCAGGGCCCCAGCCTAGAGCGTCCCGGCCTTCACCGCAGCGTGCCCAAGGAGAGGTGCTTTTTCGGCCCTGGTTCCCCTCTGGCCTGGCCCCCCTTGGCCCCGGAACCAGGTTGTCCTGGCCCCCAACCTGGCCCCGGGCCTCTGGGGTGCCTGGCCCCGCGCTTAGAGAACTGTAAACCCTAAACCCTAAACTTTGGGGAACATCCCAAGATGAGTTGAAAGTTAAACATCTCGGATGGAAGGAGTCGGAGGCCCCGGAGTCAGTCCGGGGCGCCGATCTCTCGTTTGGATCCGAATTTTCGAGAGGAGCGGAACTCTAAGAACCACTCAACGTACCCCTTCACCTCTAACCCTAAACCCTAAACCTTAAACCCTAAACCCCTTCACCTCTAACAGGACAATATTACCCCAAAAAGGTTCCTTTAAGGGGGTAACCCTAAACCCTAAACCCTAAACCCTAAACCCTAAACCCTTATGCCTTTAAGGGGCATGTGTTGAGTATCTCTTAGATAAAGTGAGCTCAGAGGGAAGCACGGAGCCTGCCGGAGCTCACTCTTCATCTCGGCGCCTTCTCAGTGGCTTAGGGTTTAGGGTTTAGGGTTTGGGGTTTAGGGTTTAGGGTTTAGGGTTTAGGGTTTAGGGTTTCGGGTTTAGGGTTTAGGGTTTCGGGTTTCGGGTTTAGGGTTTAGGGTTTAGGGTTTAGGGTTTAGGGTTTAGGGTTTAGGGCTTCCTACCGGGTTTAAAGCACCTGCTGCGGACGATGCCGCTGAAGGTCCGCGGTGCCAGCTCGACGTCCTGCGATGCTCTCACGGATGAAGCTATCCAAGCTAGGGCTTCCCCGACTTCCCCCCCGGTTTAGGGTTTAGGGTTTAGGGTTTCGGGTTTAGGGTTTAGGGTTTAGGATTTAGGATTTAGGGTTTAGGGTTTAGGGGGGGGTTTCCGAAGTTGGGGGGGGGGGGGGGGGGTACCTTATTGGGGTTCTTATTATTCGGGAACTTGGGGATGAAGTAAGGGGTCCCTTATTTAGTATACCCCCGTATGAGAGGAGCATACCGGGTATTAGTAATCCCGTGTGCTGAAACGTCGTGCTGACTCGCTTGTGATGCAAGTCTTCCCGCCTGCAGGAAGCGATTCATCTTACGGACCTCCGGCAGCCAAAGGATGGCACAAAAGATGGAAAAATGGTCAGCGTTGGAGACCCTAAACCCTAAACCCTAAACCCTAAACCCTAAACCCTAAACCCTAAACCCTAAACCCTAAACCCTAAACCCTGAAAATATCCAGGCTTTTCCAGCGAGCGGCGTGGCGCTCGTGAAGGCGGCGATCTGGTTGGATGATGGTTCCTCGAGCCAGGAACCAGCAGTCATCTTACTGTGGGGTAA